AGACCAGGTCGTTGGCCTCCTCTGGACCCGCTCTACCAGGTCCGTGTCTGTCTTGTGCTGGGGACCCCAGAGCTGGATGCAGGACTCCAGAGGGTCTCAGGAGAGCGGAGTAAAGGGGCAGTATCCCCACCCTCAACCTGCTGGCCACGCTGCTGGTGATGCAGCTCAGGAGATGCTCAGATTTCTGGGGTGCAAGGCCACACTGCCCGCTGATGTCACATTTGTCACCCACCAGTATCTCCCATCGGCTTTCAGCGCCACTTTCCAGAAAATGCAAATTTGGTGCAAGAGTCTTATGCGAAGCCAGATCTGATAATGTGTCAAGCAAGAAATGCCGGTGCACTTCTCAACAGTGCAGCAGAAGCAACAGCATGTGACTGATGGGGGCGGCCACATCTCACACACTGGTCCTGGGCACTCAGCATCCTCTTTGCATGCAACAGGCACCTGCAAACTGGTATCTAGTACTGCTGCAGGGGGAAGTGGATTGTGTTCCCCAACCTCACTCCAGGGGCTGCTCATTCAGCCTATCCCAGCGCACAGGGAGTAACAGGAGAAATGAAGAAATGGTGGAAGGTGAAAGAAGAGGAGGAAATGGAAGAGGGGTAAGAAAAGAGGATGCTCGGAGAGGATCAGAAAGAAGTTATGAAGACACTGACATGATGAAGAAACTCCTGATGAGTGTTCCTCCTGGGGTTTTCAGGGCCAGCAGCATAGCCTGAGCTCACCCCTAGAGAGTTACAGCCCACAGAAAGCCAAGCTGAAGGGCTGTACCCATCCCTGCAGAGCTGGAGCAGCTCTCAAGGCCTCTACACACCAGGGTACCGGTGCCATCTCTGCAGGATGAGACACACCTGATGCACACTGGCGCTCAGACAGTTCCACTGGGTGTTGCTACCTCTGCAGCAGTCCCAGCCAACACACCTCTACCTCGAGGAGACTCCACTGGAGACATCTTGAAGGCATACGTGCATTTGCTTTGCAGCTATTCTAAGTAAGCAGCAGCTTGGTATTTATGGCAGAGCCTCAAACTCCACTCATCTTATTCCTCCTCTGCTGGCAAACCACACATGAAAGTCCCCTAACAGCTTCAGCAGGCAGCCTCTGCTTGAGAGGTGCCTGGCCCAAAGCAAGGTGAAAACAGCTCCTGAGGACCGTGGCTTGAGGTCCAGCAAAGACGCGATGTACAATCCAAGCAGCTCTTCTTCTGCCCTTTCAAAACTGTTTTCCTAAAATCCAGTTCATTCTCATTCAGCAGAAAAGTATCAACATATGTTGATCTGCAGCCAAATATAGCCTGGGTGTGGAATAACACTCCTTTCTGCTAATCAGTATACCACACCATACCTCTTCTACTGCTGCTGTGAAATGGGGACAGAGTGGCTTTAATGTAACGAATTTAGAACATGAAAACAACTTTTCTTTGGTGCAGAAGCAGCCCACGAGCCAGGCTGCCCCTGGGCCCAGTTTGCTGGGGGCTCATGGATTTTGGGACAGCCACTGAGGGACAGACTTGTGCTCCCGTGGAAGAGGCCAGCAGGCCTCTCCACCAGGCTGCTCCAGGACGATGACCGCAGGACCAGCCCTGCTCCATGTGCTGGGGCATGTGCTCGCACGAGCCTCCCTGCCTTGTTGGCTCCAACACAGCCCAGCCAGTTGGCCCAGGGTAAGCCAGCTCCAGGTCTGACTGAGGCTGTTCTGTCTGGGGATGACGACCACAAAGCCAGAATAAAAGTCCACAATCTTAATGCTCAGTTACTGCTAATTTACAGCATGCTAAAGAGGGGGAGATCAGAATGATAAAACTGAGTCCTGTCTAGGACTGGAATTTTCCTTCTGCAAAAACATAAAGTTAGCTCTTGGAGATATGCCTGGTACTTGAAGTGTGGTCCTTGCACAAGTATTTCTGCAACAAGGGTTTCACTAATTTGTATTGACTTTGCTGTAAGCAAATCGGTGAGGAAAAGGAGGAATGAGGAACTGATCTCCCCCTCATTAACATGAGTTTATTGCATAAACTGTTTTTCTCAATAAGTCTGAACAAGGTTTAGTTAGCGAGGTCAAATAAAAAGAAATATCACCACCTCAGCAGAATGAAAACGTACAGACACATTTAAAAAATAACAGGTTGGCAACAAGAATTGCAAAGTAAGACATAGCAAAGATATACTAAAGCATCACAAATGGTCATGCGTTTTCCTTAAAAAGATGTAAAAGTTGTACAAAAGCATAGAAACAGGCGTTGGGTGGGCTGTGAACCTGGAGTACTTGGCCAATGAGAAAACAGGGGAGGGGACTGTATGCGTCGGGAACCAGGACGTACACTGTGGGCTCTATAGCTACGAAGTGCTCTCTCCTGTGTGCGGGGGGATGACCACTATTGCAGTCGTGAATAAAATGCTGCTTCACTGAGATCCTGCCTGAGCCTGAGTAACAGGCCTGCGAGCGTTCCTCACAACATCTGAATTAGCACTCCCGTTCAACCCATCTCAAATCCCGCACACAAATGTGGGAAAGGAAGTAGGAACGGGCTCTGGGGGAGCACAGGCACACTGCCCAAGCACCCAGGGAGGAGTTGGGAGAGCCAGAGCTTGACTGGAGCAATGTGAGGGCTGTGCAGGGCAGCAGGATGGGCTGCCCTGAGTACCAAAGAGCCTAAGGAAGGCTGAGAAAGCTGTGGTCCCACTGCTTAACGAGGCAGAAGCTCTAATGACCAGGGATGCGGCAAAGGCTAAGGTTTCCACTTCTTCTGGTGATCACTGGTAATGTCTGTCCTTAGCCTCCTGGTGCCCTCTGAGCAGAGGCCAGTGGTATGACAGAGTGATGTAGAC